AGCTACTAGCCCGAAAGTGAAAACGCGACATGATTTCAGCCTCACTAATGCCCATTAACACCTAACAGACAAGCTTTTGGTTATGAATAGGGGGAAGGGGTCTCCACTCTTTAAGTGTTTTTCATAAACATGAATACACAAAATTCAAAAATAGGACGGATGGCTTAACAAAACCTATGCGTTTAAAAACGAAACCGCATTAAATATGGGGCCTTATGAAAATGAATGTTTATTTCATTTTCTTAATGTGTTATTTAAAATATCTATATTACGCTCCAAGCATTCGCCAAAACGAATATATTTTTTACGTAAAAACACAGAACATAGCTGAATAGAGTGTTGCCTGCTTTAGACGATAGGTTATTAATTATATTATAAATGGTTATGTTCAGGTCAGTAAAATAATACCTTTAATAAATAAAATGGTGGGCCAGTGATTCCCTCGCTGTCATCAGTGCATGGGTTAATGAGCTTAGGAGAATTCTGCTTTGCATTTTTCTATGCATTACTAACATCACTAAACCAGACATTTGTTTTATAAGTTAACCAAATATTCGCGCAGATTCAGCAGTTTTTTTCTGACGCGTTTGCCATTCATGCCAGTCAGTGAAAAAAGAAGTAACTGTGGCCCTGTTTGCAGGTATTAAGATTCGTTTTCATCAATCTGATGCAACTTTTATTATTTACAGGACGTAAAATGCAATTAAAAGTTTCAAATCAATTCAATTCAATTCAACTCAATTTATAAAAAGACTAGCCTATTTTATGCATTAAATAATGAAATATAACAAATTTCCTTTATTTCTGATCAGACCATGCATTTTAAACTATTTTACAATTGTAATATGTGCATATGCTTTTTTTAAAATAACATTCGTCTAACAAATATTTTAGCACATCGAAAGTAATTAAATGACCTGTTTTTGATTAAAAACCTTTATGCAAAAGGATCAGAAATTGATCGCGCACGCATAGGAAAATGCAGTTATGTGACACATGACATGCATGGCTCCTATTCCGCGTTTTTAGGATAAATTGGCATATAGGTGCTGCTTTGAATAGAATAAAACTATTTAAAAACACATTAAAAACTTCACAAAGCGTATCTTATGGAAAAACACCAATTGCCGGGCTCTGCTTTCGGTTTTAAAAGAATCAAGCAGCTTTAAAAAATATAATTTGCTGAAGAGAAATGACAGAAAAAAAAAGATTAAACATATCGGGACTGTTAAAAGAACATTTCTCTTTAATATATTCTTTCGACTCCGAAACATCAGCTAAGATTATGAATTACGGAGTGTCTCTATTGCCTGCTTCAGCAGTGCGTCGGGCTGGTTATGAACGAGGAGGCGGAGAGAATGCGCTGTTTAGTTTCGGCTTGATATATTTAAATAAAAACTAACACAGAACTGCTTTTAACGCTCAAAAAGTTAAACTAAAATGCACAACTCTTGTTGGTTGCACCTGCGGGATGCACAATAAACCTATCGCGCCATTATTTTAATTCTATATTCGTGAAGAATGAGCCATGAGATTGAAATTTTTGAAGGTGCTCTCCAGCGGCGAAGTTCCTGGCAGAGTAGCGGGTGAAAAAATGTGCATGCAGAAATTGAACAAGAGGAATAACATTTTAAATTATATAACAAGCATTGTATTCTTTCTAATCCCCGCCCAGTTTTAATACAAGTTGTGTTCTTCAATATTTGTGGCTGGGAAGTTTATTAAGAATATATTTATAATTATATATTATTAAATAATTACATATATATATATATATATATATATATATATATATATATATATATATATATATATATATATAGAGAGAGAGAGAGAGAGAGAGAGAGAGAGAGAGAGAGAAAGAGAGAGAGAGAGAGAGAGAGAGAGAGAGAGAGAGAGAGCCATTACAAGTAAAACAACAACAACAAAAAACAACAATTTTACTTTAAAGAAAAATAGATGTTTTGAGAAAAAAAAACTGAACAAAACTGAAACCAAATTATTAAAACTAAACTTGCGGGACTTTATTTATGTCCTGTGGCAAAATTATTTTTATTATACTTTAAGTTATCTGCTTGAAGTATGGCTAGGTCACATTTATCAATGGTAAGTTTTAGTCTAAGTTTACATCAATAACAATGTGCATTGTCCTTTACCATACAAAAAAGGAAGAAAAAACATTATTATACACCATAGTAGCCGCAAATCTTTTTAAATGCATTAAAAAGCAAGCACATATCTTAGCCTTACCTTGAGTTTGTTCACATTCTGCCTGTATTAACATGCTGTATTTTATTACAGTTCATTTTGATGAATTAGGTCTAACTGACAGCTTTTTCTTCTTTTTTCGCGGTTATGCGGCATTATATTTCACACGCATATGCAAGGTGACTGAAATTGAAATTAAAATACCAAACATACTGAGCCATTAATTAAAAAACAAAACAACAGTTATAGCTTCTTTAAAGGAGAACATTGACGTTTTGAAAAAAAAAAAAAAAAACTGAACTGAAACTAAATTATTAAAGATAAACCTGCGAGACTTAATTTATATTATGTCCTGCGGCAAAATTTGTTTTATTATACTTTCAGTGATCTCCTTAAGGTAAGTCAATTTATTTATTTATTTATTTGCTTTTGATGAAGCAGCATTCAACTTAAGCTCTTTAGACCATGCCCCTGACCGTTTCTCAGTGTTTTGCCGCAATATCTTTAAATAAATAATTTATTTAGGCCTAATTTCATTATTAATTAGTTTTCATTATTCGTTTATTATTATGTACAATTGTTGAGACATAAAATAAGATAGTAAAATATAATCAAAAACGAAAATTAAAACAAAAACAGAAATAAAAACATATATGAAAATGTCTTGTCTTAGTCCTATCAAAATAGCAAACACTGAACATCTCTCTATATTTAGGCTAAAAGACTGCTTTATTTATTTATTTAAGACTACTTATTTGTACTGAATGTTTGTGCTTTCATGTTAGTTGTCTTTTATTTCTTCAATTCTATTTTCCAAAACTAGTCCTCTTTGCACTTAAAAAGTTTACAATAAAGTGTGTTAACAAATTTTAAATGATTAATGAAGGAATTATAATGCTTTGACTTATTGTTTAATCTCATTTACAAGCACAGTAGCATATTTAAAGCTGCTGTAAAGGCTATTTCTGTCCGTTCGCATCCCGTCCCTTTGCGCCCCCTGGCGGCTCATTCACAAGCTGCTGTCATATACTAAAAACAGAGCGGCAGTTATTTCAAACGGCGGCGGTATAAGACGCGGCGGTAATAGTCACTTTGAACTCTCACCTACTGTAGATAGAGAAAGATACCTGCTGCACTGCTATCCACTGTGTCTGTTCGTCTGATCGATGTGACTTTGAAGCGCTGTATTGTTCCTGTATCTGTGTTTACACTTAAGCCTAGTTCACACTACAGGATTTTAAACATCAGCAGATCTCTGTGCTGTTCACACTACATGACTTGACTTTGTGTCTTTTAATCTCTGTGGTGTTCACACACTATGCAACACTCTGTGAACGATCCACAAGAGGGGGGTCACACACTAGAGGATCTGACAACAACTCATTCCTAATCAGCTCATTCAAGCTACCAAACCACAGCCAATGAAATTTTGAGGGAGGAGTCGTCAGAAAAAGTTGAACACTATTGGCTGCTTGTGTGCTGATTACATCACTGACAGGTTTCAAGCTTTGGAGAAAGCATTTAAAAACATTGTCAAAGCAGCTGATCTATCAGCGGAGTAATCACTCATCTGCAAGGTTCCAGTGGATAGATACACAGAGAGTTTTTAATTTTTGTAATTTTATAACTCTTTGAAATAAAATTAACATATTTATAACATCCTGCTGTTTTCTAACTATCAGTGTATTTCTTTCTGACATTGTTATTTTTTTTTTAATTACAAAACAGTAAAGAACTGAGTATTTCTGCCTTAAAATACCATATTGGTCAAAATGACTGCATGCATGTCTGATACTTTTCACTGTGACTTTAAATATGTGTGCATTTTCTTGCCTAGCAACTTCCTGCTAACATAAACAAAACTTTCTGATGGCAAAAACATCAATTTACCTCAGATATCTTTTAAAACAGCATATTCTGTGCTGTTAAATAGCTCCTGCTTCAAAGTGAAAATGAAAGCCAAGACCTTTAAGTGTTTTAGTATCTTAACTACATATTTATAGGCTGTATTACCAAAGAAAGATGATATTTTTAGGGTAATGGTGTCATTAAATATGATGCCAGACATTCAAAGCTTAATTTTAATATCTCAATAATAGCTTTGAATGTAAATATGTTGTGACAGTATGGCGTTTTATATAAGAACGGTCAGAATGAGCAGTATGGTAATTCTTATAGTTACAGAATTCTAGTTCCACTGTTAATATATCCTACTCTCATGTCTGTGTTAACGCAGAATGAAGCGAGTGCACCGATGCCCATTCTGACCAATCACAGATGTTTCTGCTGAGCTCCTGAACACACAGGCATTCAGCTCATGCTGATATGCTCTCTCATTGGCTGCAGCTCGTCACTACATCTGACCACACGTGGGGTTGAGTCGGCCGACGGCTCTGGAATATTTAGCATGCTGAATGTTGGATTTTCGTCTGTGAGGTGTCGGCGACGCGTCAGCGAGCCTCGTTGATGCGTTGTTTAGTAGTTCACACATAAAGAGCGGCGACCGCCGAGCACCCGCAGATTTCTTCCCGATCACAGCCCGATCTGTCGGCGAGCTCGTTAACTTCCAAATCGGGCTCAAATCAGGCTTAAAATCCTTTAGTGTGAACTAGGCATTAGTAAGCAGTGGTGAGTGAGGTGACCTTTGGGGCCAATCACAGTCAATTTAGTTGAGCAAGTGAACACAATGACAAATCAGAGATGTTTAAGAACATGCTCAACAGCACTAAAATGTAAGTGGGAAATGGACGTTTTTAAAATATCAGTAACAATAAGCTGGACACGAAACTTACCTCCACTGGCATATTCCATCACAAGAAACAGTGTCTTTTCCGTCTCTATCACCTCAAACAGTTTCACTATAGAGAGAGTGAAAGGGAATTTGGTAAGTAAAAAAAAAAGTACAAACATAAAACCATAAGAAAATAAGTCAAAATCCAAATTCTATTTTTTTATTTTCTATTTTTTTTATTCAATTATGACATTAGATTATCAGGTGATAATCAACTTTATTTTAGTAAAAAAAAAAAAAAAAAAAAAAAAAAAAAAATATATATATATATATATATATATATATATATATATATATATATATATATATATATATATATGAAAGCAAGCAAGTACATGTAGTCCATCTAGATGATGTTTAACTGTATTTTAAATTGCCTAGTCTAACACATCACTTACCTTTAGATTTTGAAAAATGTATATATTTTAACAAAACACATTATGAAATGCACTGTTACATAAATGTATTTAAGTTAGCCCAATAAAATCAATAACAATAAAGCATAGAAGTAGATAATAGAAAATATATTGGTTAAATAAAAATTAAATGACAAACAGGAAAGAAGAGAAAAAACTCCAAACAACTTGAAAAAAAAATGTTTTCATGAAAGAAGGCCCATCAATGTAAATATATTTATTTTAATCAAGATAAAATAAAAAATAAACAAATCAAATGTAACAAAAGGCCATTCAGACATGAATATCATTTTTATATTGCACATGTAAACAAAACAACTCCCGCTCCTGCGTATAAAGAATTTTCCAAATTTTTAAAAAGATTTAGCTTGTCACAATAGACAGCTAAAAAGTAAAAAAATATTAAGTTTAATATTTTTGTTGAACCTAAATTTTCTTAAACATCACATCACAAAATAATGCAGGTTTCTTAACAGGACAGTAAATGCACTTCCCATGTGTAGCATTTCGATAGTGATACAAGCTTTTGCCATAGAACTGACTGCATGCACAATAGTTTTTTGCTTACAAGAGGAATTCATTATTTTTTTCATTATTTCATTACATTAGTAATCCTCCCTGGGCAGCGTGCGCAGCTATAGGTGAATTAATAATTAATTAGTCAAGACAGCAAGATGGGGAGCTATTTAAAGCATTATTATTGTTGTTATCAAATTTATTATTAGTAGTAGTTTTAAATTATTTGGTCAAATTACAACTCATCACCACTATAATTTGAAATGAACTTTGCTTAATTTTATTTGCCAGGCGCTCTGTCTTGCACACAAGGACAGGCTGAGCGACATCTACAATGTCTTCAAAATAGAAAAAAACCTGCTCAGCTTCAGAGAGCAACCAGTCTTGGGATGCAAGGTGATATAGCTGTGGACAAGTAAACATGCTTACCAATATTTGGGTGGTTTAAATTCTTCATGATTGTGACTTCTCTGGAAAGCTGTTTAAGAAAAGAGAATTCAAAATAAGCATTAAGAATTCACAAAGAACTGCTTCACAAAAGATTTAAACAGTTATTCAGAATTTACAGAGGAGGAAGCAAAATACAGCTAGACACCATCGTCACAGTGAAAAGTGTTTCCTTTTCAGTAGAAACAAGCATTAAGTGCTATTCATTATTGATCTCTCAAAAAAAGGGATATCCTCTGCTCTTAATAGAAAGGAAGATTCATGCATCTTTATTAGCGCTATAGCTGGCATTAGGTAGGCTGTGTTCCTGTTAGCACGTTTTGCTTTTCACATCATGCTCTCACAAGTGTAGGTGTAGCTTTGAAGAGGATGCGAGAAACAAGTTGTGATTTTGGACAACAGGGAAACACTTTTGGTGGATGAGCAACCGAATGCTTTTCCCACGACAGTACTTTCTGACAACTATGGAACAGCAAAAGATTGCAGAACTCACAAGCAAGAACAATTGGCGAATTTACACAAATTCTCATGATCGATCGTCATTAAACATCATAGTTCACCCATAAATTAATGAAAATGAAAAATTTGTCATAATTTTGTGTACTGTTGGAAAAAAACAGGCATATTTTTATTTGATAAGAAACCTCTAAAAGCACATTTACCGAACAAATTCAGCATGCGCTAGGGCTGCTCGATTATGGGAAAATCATAATTACCATTATTTTGGTCATATTTGTAATCACAATTATTTAAAAGAATTATTCAAAATGATGTGTTGAAGTCAAAATTATTCACCCTTCTGTGAATTTTTTTTATATTAAAATATTTCCCAAATGATGTTTAACAGAGGAATTTTTCACAGTATTTCCTATAATATTTTTCTTCTGGAGAAAGGCTTATTTGTTTCATTTCAGCTAGAATAAAAGCAGGTTTAAATATTTTGAAACCTATTTTAATAGCTCTATATTATTAGCCCTTTAAGCAATATATATTTTTGATTATCTGCAGAAGAAACTACTGTTATACAATGACTTGCCTAATTACCCTAATTAAGCTTTTGAATGTCACTTTAAGCTGAATACTAGTATCTTGAAAAATATCTAGTAAAATATTATTTACTGTCATCATAGCAAAGTTAAAAAGAAGTCAGTTATTAGAAATTAGTTATTAAATCTGTTATGTTTAAACTGTGCTTTCAGCATCTTCACTGTTAGAAAAAAACTTTAGCTACCAAAGTCTTTCAGTCAAGAGCAGTGAGGGATTTTCTTATTTTGTTGTTTGATTAATAATAAAAACAGGCAGCAGCAGGAATTTTGTGCAGTGTCACTTTAAGAAGTGATTGATGGAATAATATGACGTAATAATCATTTATCTAGATTAATGGTTTTTCATAATCGTTAGAAGTCAACAATTGAAATCAAAACCGGATTTTCGATTAATTTAACAGCCCTAGCATGCACGTATATACAGTGGGTATGGAAAGTATTCAGACCCCCTTATATTTTTAACTCGTTGTTATATTGCAGCTATTTGCTAAAATTATTATTTTTTCCTTAAAACTTAAAACTCCCGTGAAATCCTAGAAGGACTGATTAACTTCCATAGTACCTGCATCTGTTTTTTCCTACTATGGAAGTCAATAGTTACAGGTTTCCAGCTTTCTTCAGAATATCTTCTTTTGTGTTCAACAGTAGAAAGAAAGACAAACAGGTTTAAAACAAGGGAAGGAAGAGTAAAATTTCAGAGTTTTCAGTTTTGTGTGAAACAAAACCCTGTTTTGTTTCTTTTAACCTCCTTCATTTAACATCTAGTTTAAACTTGTAGATTATTTCTTTTGTTGAACAAAACATTTTCAAGAATTGCTGTAAACAAACAGATGCCCGCCCACAATGCAATTTACCTCATAGCATCCTGAAAGTATGTAAATTAAAATATTAAATTGGGCCAATAACATAATTGGGCAGACTTGAGGGTTTTTTCAATCGGCTTAACACATTATTTCTCATTGTCTCAATGTTAACAGGTTGTTGCTACAATAAAAAAATAAATAAAATTGTTTGCCGAATTCCATTTGGGCCAACTAAAAACTTTTGATGCGATTTAACCCTACAGACGATCTTAATTCAGCTTTTCTATGATTCAGCCAATTATATTTTCAAGGTCAGGAAAAAAGCATAAAGGTGGTCGCACAAGTCTTCACATTAATTGTTTTATATATGTGGCTTAGCAACATGGAGACCTCCAAATGATGTTAAGTGTCACATACTCTATTTATAAGGTAAAATTCACCCAAAGATGTAATTTCTGTCTTAATGTAATATCACGCGAGAGCTGACACACTGTTTGTTTACTACCGAGTGGACACGCACATGCACAACAATGAAGTCTACTTTAATGAAAAAAATGGTGGTTGATAAACTGCGCGTGACGTGTCTGAAGAGCAAGGAGGGATCCAGGGGTGAGAAGGGTACGTGACTTATTTGAGGACCGGGAGGGAGATGAAAAATTTCCAGGAGATTATCACTCGTTTGCATTCAGTAAGAGTCCCGCAAATGTATAGAGACTCTCAAAACTTCCAGGAGACTTGGGATGTCTGAATATCACGTTTAACAACTGTAGTGAGAAGCGATCCAGTGGTACAACCTTGATAAAGACGTGCACAGCTCTCTGTCTCTAGAGCTCTGAGAGAGAAGCGCGTGGCTGTGTCTGTTTGTGTGTGTGTGTGTGTGTGTGTGTGTGTGAGAGAGAGAGTGTGTGTGTGGGGTCATGTGATGTGCATTTTCAGCGGACAGAGGGCTGTTCAGAAATGCTAGGTGAAACACGGTGTGGATGTGGATCATTTTCGTTCTACAATGCCATTTTAACACCAAGACGTATTAGTGTTAATGGGGCCTTAGTGTTTATTTTTTGTGAGAGGGTTTGTGATGGGGAGCATCGGCGAAGCCGGCTCAGCATCGTGTTGTCTATTGGCCATCAGAGATGGACGATGGCATCGTCTATCGGCCAAACCCTAATTTGATACGTTTTTTCTTTCAAAGTGAACACAGTGTGTTGTGCATGAAAATAAATGTTTACTGGGTCAGTGTAACTACTTTATATATAACATTGAATATAATGCAAGAGGGAATCGGATGTTTCATTTTACCAGTGAAAAAAAAATGGTCTTATAATGTTATCAATAACAAATGACAAGCATATGTCTCAAACATAACTTAACTTTAGAATTATGAATAGTTGTTTTCTGAGGCATCACTTTACTGTGAAATAAAAACCAGGACATTTTTTTAAGTCTGTTCATTTAAAGTCCACCATTCAAAGTCTTTACAAAATCTAGCATTTTAACCAACAGTAGTCCTACACATAGGCCTAATATTATCATTGTTGTTTTACCATATGTTTTTTTATTTATTTTTTTTTACATATTTTTACTTTATTTTACATCTATAGAATAGTGAGAAAATCGTGAACTTGATTTTAAACAAAAAAAAGTCATTATTCTCATTTTATCCAGAATTTCTCAAAAACATATTTGTAAAGGTGCTGTTGACCTGAAATTAAAAGCGGATGTTGGTAACTACTAAAGAAAAAAACTATATGTAAAAAATCTAATTATTTTAATGGTATGTGTAATAAAATGAAATGACACAAGGAAAAAGTATTGAACACATGAAAAAAGGGGGGTGTAAAAAGGCAGTGAAAGCTCAGAGAGCAGCTGAAATTTCTCAGAAAGCACCCTCCTGCCCTTCGTCAGTGTAAATTAATATTAGCTGCTTCAGTCCAGCATCTACATTAGCAGGATGATGAAGATAAAACCAGACTGGACATTTCAGCAAGGCAATGATCCAAAAAGTACACCCAAAGAAACTCAAATTGTTTCAGAGTTGGAAAAATCAAGCTGTGTAATCTTCCAGCCAATCATCTGACTTAAATCCAATAAGAAATAAAAAAATAAAGATCAAATTTGATAGACGAGACCCAATAACTGTTAAAACTGTAATCATCATGTTTTCTTAGTTTCTCTCTCTCAGCTTTTACACACTGCCTTTTCTTTGATGCATTGTCTTAACGTGACTGCCTTCTCTTTGATGCACCATCTCAACACGACCAGTGACTAAAATACACCAATCCACAGCAGAACATCTCACTTCAGTGGAGGGACCAGACCAAGTGTGGAGCTGAAACACCCACAACCAATTACATAATCTCCAGCTCCCAGCAACACATATGAATAACCAAGAGGACATGTGGTGGAGAAACATAACATGGGATACTTAAGACACTGCTGCATGCACCACTGCTTCAATGCCAAAGGAAATGAATAGTAAAATGACACACAATAATCATGTATGGCAAAGTAATATTATTCTGCTTTATCGCACTATTCAGAAAGTACAATAAACTAAAAACAATAAAAAAAAAACTGTAAAGTTAAAAAAGTTACTTAAACTCAAAGACATAAAAACAAAAATCACTAAAACTAAAATAAAGGCATACAGACCATGACAAAAAATGACAAAAGCAAAGAAAATTGATACATTAAAAAGAAAAACAATAATACTGTATGTATGTATGTATGTATGTATGTATGTATGTATGTATGTATGTATGTATGTATGTATGTATGTATGTATGTATGTATGTGTGTGTGTGTATATATATATATATATTTATACACATATATATATATATATACATATATATATATATATATATATATATATATATATATATATATATATACAGTTGAAGTCAGAATTATTAGCCCCCCTGAATTATTAGCAGCCCTGTTTATTTTTCCCCAATTTCTGTTTAATAGAGGGAAGATTGTTTCAGCACATTTCTAAGCCTAATAGTTTTAAAAACCTATTTCTAATAACTGATTTATTTTATCTTTGCCATGATGACAGTAAATAATATTTTACTTGATATTTTTCAAGACACTTCTATACAGCTTCAACCCCAGTGACATTTAAAGGCTTAACTAGGTTAATAAGGTGAACTAGGCAGGTTAGGGTACTTAGGCAAGTTATT